AAAAAAAAAAAAAAGATGTTCTATTCTCTAGAAGCAAAAAGAAAAGGCAGTTTTTCTAGTAGTCTAAGGTGATACTGGCCTTATGTATAAGTTGATAATGACTACTATAAGCATATGCAACACTAAGCTATGGGTGAGCTGAATCAAACCAGGATACTGCAATACTCTGGACAGGAACAGTGTCTTCCTCTGCATTGTATATTGCCTACAGACAGTATATTTATAGGCATAACTTGGAGCAACTGAACAGAAATAATACTGCAGAAGTTCATAATTCAAGGGGATGAATTTGTATCATGCAATACAAGATTACAAGAGTAGGGTGTAATGTTCTCAGGAGAACAGGAACTTGGCATGCATCTATTAAGTACCCATTCCAGGCATCCAAGGCATTGTGGAATAGGACAGGAAACATTTGCTTACAGATATCAAGGGTGCAGTTTGACCCACTAGACAATGCATTTCTGTCTGTTTCACTGTCTTGCATCTTCACTCTGTCAAACACCTTATCTAACAAATCCTTGCAATTATTCTTCAGTTAAGTAGGGATGTGTTGTTCCTATCCTAGAGATGGGGAAACATGTGCAGAGGTAGCAGGGATGTGCAATTATTTGGGCTAGTGGGCCACATAGGGTTTTTTACTGAGTTGTTGCGGGCTGGGTCAGCACCCCTCCCCTATGCACAACTCACGAAAACTCCCTATGTGGGATAGGTCCATGGGCAGATGGAGAACAGCGTTCAAAAGTGGGATGGGCAGGCAAGGCTGGAATAAAAGAGCAGGGTTGTGGGGTGGTAACAGTATGGGGCTGGGCCTGGGGCTGGGGCAGAAACATGATCCACTGCTTACCTGCCCCTGCGATGAGTGCTGGTTCTGCGTGCAGGGAGTGGATTATGGCTCTGCCCCATATCCCAGCCATGTACTGTCATCACCCCAAGATCCCAGACCCAGCTCTGGATGCTGCTTCCTGCCTCCCCGCCTCCCCAGCATGTCTGCCACCCATGCAGGTCCTAGCCAGTGTCCATGGAGACCCCAGGATTGTGAGGTGTTGATAGCACAGGGCTGGGGCAGAGCCACAATGTTCTTCCCACAGGTTCCTGCCTGTAGAACTGGTGTTCTGCCCTAGCTGCCTGCTGTCACCATCTCATAATCCCGGTGTCTCTGTGGAGATCGCCTAGGGGCCATACAGGCAGGGTACTCCATAGATGTAATAGGGCTGCGGACAGGTGGGGAGCTGTGTCCGGGGCTGGGATCTTGGGGCCGTGACAGCATGGGGCTGGGGCCAGGACAGAGCCGCAGTTTCTTCCCTGAATGCCTCTGCCCGCAGAACCTGTGCCTGTTGCAGGGGTGTGCAAGCAGTGGATCTCAGCTTGACCCCAGCCCCAGCTCTGTGCTGTCACTGCCCCCCAAGATCCTGAGGCCCCCCAACTGAGCCTGCCCATCTTACTCCTGGCCAGTGCTTCTCCTGCCGCCATGGCCCCATCTCAGCTGCCAAGCTGAGCATCTTGCATGTGCAGGTCCCACCCCCAGTAGTGGGTGCAGGGCAGAAGGGTTGGGGTGCTTGGGCAATGGGGCTGGATTCAGCAGTGGCAGCCAGAAGGATGCACCACTGCCATCAGGGCCTCTGGGAAATGGAATCCAGCTGCTACACCTCCCCAGCTACACTGCGCACCTAGGCACATGCCATGGCCCAGGCTGTCCCTTGTACCTGGGCTGGGCAGGACTGAAGGATCTGCTGTGGGCTGAACAAAGTCCCTCTGTGGCTTGGATCCAGCCCAGGGGC